ACGTTGAACTAAGCTGATGATCCTCTTGGCTGAAACAATTTCTTTATTTCTTGTTGTTCACTGGTCTCCGTCACGTGAGCAATTTCCAACCGTCTAATGACGATATTACGTGCCATTTCCCAGATGGTAGACATGGTTGAACATGGATTAAAATTGATTGCATACCTGCACTGAAATGCTAGTGAATCCAGGGGTCTGGATAGGCCTTATACTTTATCCCGGAAAGACTTATGACGTTAATATGGACGACTTAAAAGAAACAGCTACATCCCACTGTGTAAGCTTCAAGGAGGTACCCAAAAGTTCGGCCAACTACTACGGTTGAATATGGTGAGCTTGTTATGGTTGTCACTCCTAAAAATACATTGAAAAGTAAAAGAGTCATTTTTTCTTATACTGAATGAATCCTTGGTGCCGCAGCATGAACGGCAAGTGCGAATAATGTTACGAAATCTCAAAACTTTTTTCTGGCTTGCATAAATTTATACTATGGAAGCCAAAAACACCATCACAGAACGTTTCCGGTTGGAGTTAAAAAGGAAAGCAGAATGAATTTTGAATGTGACTATAGGGTAAATGAAGGAGTTGGTGTCGTTTTCATCAGTGGCAGAGTCATGAATGCTGACTTATATATAAAAAAAAGCGATCCATGTATGACGTTTATGAGAAGAAAGATAGGAAGCAACACTGATTTCTCTGTCTACAGATGATATCAAGGTATCCCATTTAGGCTTTATTTAGTGCTATAAAGTATAAAATGCCAAGAAAGTTATCACGGAGGCGTTCAAGGTCGAAATTCTTCTAAAAAAACATGTGAAGAAGCTTACACAGAAACTAGGTGACTGAAGTAGAACGAACAGGGTGCGATGGTAGCTGAGTTCATTAAGTTTACGACTGGTATCACAAAATATAATGAAGCCATACGTAATGCTGAGATATTTGCAAAACTCCGGACCGCAGGTGTATGCAGTGGGGAACGAACACGTGCTGTTGTCCTTACCGGGGAGCAGCGCACTTCACCACCACACCATCCGAGTCCTTCGTTTTGCCTGTCTCTCAGCTAGTTCTATCGATCTTTTTGCATCAGCAATCACCCGTCAACGGGATTGATCTGGGGAGCCCAAATCGGCATTGAACCCAGTTAAGCTCAGGCTTAGTTATAATCACAATCTTAAGATAATGAAGCCATAGTTCCATAAACAGTGGAGGTCTAATGAAAAAGAGCATGGTAACGAAGAGACATCTTTAAAGAGAGAATTAAAAGGCAGATTTATCTCTTGTCGCTAATTTCTTCAGTGATTGGAACTGTCGACTGACGGCAAGGCTCCTTTATTCGTTAAGAGAAGAGAAGACCACAAATTTTCAAAGTGAGCTAGGACTCTCACGAACTGGAAAGTTTGTAATCATTGCTTTCCTTTCGAAGATGCTCTCACTAACGGCATCGTTAAGCAATGGTTTTGGTTCATGTGAATTCTTCACAATAATGTGAAAGAAGTAAAAAAAGGAAATCGGGCTTGGAAGACTCAAGCTGGCCTGCGGAGAGCACGCGATCTACATGCTACTGGAGTTGGCTTTCGTTGAGCTCATTAGAGAAGCAGGAAAAAAGAAGGCATCGGCGATAAATAGGAAGGAACAAAGCAAGAAACTATAAAACATGTGAAAATCATCCACGACATCTTTCGGGATTCCCCCAATTGAAACCATTATGTGAAGTTTTCCCGACTGCTGCACAGAACAGCGAATGTATCCGGAAAGGCAATGAAGAAGATTCATAAAAAATTTGTGGTCCGGCTTCCCCGATAAAGGGTTCAATTACCTGTATATTATTTTGATAAAGAGGAATTTATTCTTTAGATGGTTCTTCCTTACAAACTGAGACATGTTCTCGTGTTAGCAAAATTTTATAGTACGCTCCATGAAACATTGAAAACTATCGAGGACGCGGTGGGCAAGAAAAAGAGAAGGCTGTTCCTTAAAAATATCCTTCTACTCTGTTTGTATACATAGATATAGCATCGAACAAAGATTACATCTACTGGAGTATTAAATACAATATATAATACAGTACAATATTATATGTATGTATGTATGTATGTATGTATGTATGTATGTATGTATGTATGTATGTATGTATGTATGTATGTAGGTATGTATATATGCGTATATGGATACAACTGTGGTGGATAGGAACCCTTGATTGTTCTCAAAAGTTGTTTGATTTGTTTGTTTCTTTGTTTGTTTTGTTGTTTCACACAGACGGTCATACAGGCGGTTGCTAACTAATTGGCGACGTAGAGTAGTCGGTGGTATTTCAACTATCGCTACCGATTCCTCTAGACCTGCCCTTCTTAAGCATCGTTTTATAGCTGCGCTTACTTCATCGCTTATAAAAGTAATTTGCGTAATTTGCCCTTACGGCAGGGACGGTGATTGCATGAGTTCAGGTACGATATACCTGATCTCGTGTAACAATTGCGGAGATGAATATATTGGCGAAACGGGCAGACCTTTGCGTATCCGTATAAAAGAGCACCTAGATGGCAAACGAAAACTAAGACGAAGCACCCCACTAGGCACGCATAGGATACAAAAGCATAGCGGAGACGATTTTGAAGTAAAAGTCGATATCCTTGCACAGGAGTCCAAAACACCAGCGCGAAAACTCCTTGAGGCTTTTTGGATCAATGCCAAAAACCCTACAATGAATAGCAGGGACGAATGCCCGGAGGTTATACGCGACCTGATCCCGTATGTTCGCATCGATTTTTGATGTGGGATGGTGCAGTCGTCAACCACATGCGACTATAATCAGCTGTTCTAAACTTCNGATTGCATGAGTTCAGGTACGATATACCTGATCTCGTGTAACAATTGCGGAGATGAATATATTGGCGAAACGGGCAGACCTTTGCGTATCCGTATAAAAGAGCACCTAGATGGCAAACGAAAACTAAGACGAAGCACCCCACTAGGCACGCATAGGATACAAAAGCATAGCGGAGACGATTTTGAAGTAAAAGTCGATATCCTTGCACAGGAGTCCAAAACACCAGCGCGAAAACTCCTTGAGGCTTTTTGGATCAATGCCAAAAACCCTACAATGAATAGCAGGGACGAATGCCCGGAGGTTATACGCGACCTGATCCCGTATGTTCGCATCGATTTTTGATGTGGGATGGTGCAGTCGTCAACCACATGCGACTATAATCAGCTGTTCTAACCCTTTTCATTGAAAGTCACGAAAAAGCGGTGGGTTTTTCGAGAAGTTGTTGATCGTGTAATTACCAAAGAGTCTTTCGTCTTTGTGTAAGTGTTATTGAAGCGTTTGGCCTAGTAGATTGTATATCAGTATACCCTTCCAGGCTCTGAAGAAGGCGATACTGCCGAAACGTCAGCTAGCGTTGTATTGTATTGTGTTTTTATGGAAGTAAATGTATGCTGTTTAAAAACCTCGCGATTGCTGAACAAGAAAACGACACATTCATATTCCAATGCCGAGGTTAAGAGAAAGTCGATCCTGGGAACTATTACAAAATGAAAGCAGTAATAACGATCTTAGTAATAGATATTAAAAACGGATTCGAGCTTTGTAAGAGTCACTTCTCTTTCCTGAAAAGTTCTTCTTTTTATTTTTTCGATAAAACGTGAGATAACCAGTTTGTCCTAGTATCGTAGTGTCTACATCGATCTAACTTATTAATACTTAGCCGTGATCATGGGATTGATAGCAAATTCACATATCATCGACAAGGGTCGTGCCTTTGCGATCCAGAGATCGTGTATCCAAATTGTGAGCCATCTATGAGCCAGTAATGTTACGAGGAGAGAGAGAGAACGTTTGGAAGAGGTGGTGGAGTAGACTATAGGTGAGTATTCAATAAATAGTACACTAGCGATGAAATGTAATGCCTGTAATAGTTCCCAGAATTGACTTTCTATTAATCTCGGCATTGCTTTATAAATGTGTCGTTTTCTTGTTCAGGAATTGCGAGGGAGATACAACCTCACGATTGCTGAGCAAGAAAACGACGTAATGTTTGTAGTCTAAAGAGCCGCGATGGGACTATGCGTGGATCAGACCAGGCTCATAGAGAACCTTCTTCAAAATGGAATGCAAAGCGTGTAGAATATCATGCTAAGTTGAACTTGAAGCTGTTTTAGTCTGCAATGCCTTAGTAGTGATGAGATAATTTTTAAATCGCTTATTGTGTTTTATTTGCTTATAATTATCCGTCTTTTACAGAGGGTAATTATACAGTGAAAACCGCAAAAATAAGGTTCTTTGTGCTAAGCGAGTGCGGAGTCTATCAGAACCACTAAGCGGTTTTGGCGGTCACAGGAACCACTGGATGATAAGTGGGTGGGATAGTGATACAGATATTTTTTAATGTCAATGTGCCAAGTTGTATAAGGCGTTAAAAATAATTTTCCTAACATTGTCCTTTCAATTTTGTAAGCTTTCCATTTAAGTGATCAGGCTCTAATCTATGCCCACTACCTTTTTTCAACTTTTGGTATGTTTGTAAAAAGTCTCCCACCACGCTTTCATTTTCGCTTCTTTTTCTTCAAAGAAACAATTCTCTTTAAACGTCTTGAGATATAAAGAAGACGAAATTTCATGACCGTTATGACCTGCCTGAAAATGACATTGGCCTCATTGTACTAAAGCGAAACCTTAACCATTAAGAATTCTTAGGACGAAAAAAGACATGGAAACTCTATTCACAGGGCACTTACAAAACCGTCGGACGGCAGGAGCTCGCATTCTGGGTGATGGTTCATCGTCGGATTCACTCTCTTGCGTTGAACATGCAGCGACTGATGCTCGTTGCTGCTGAAGTAGAAGCGTTCAAATAATCGAGATTAAACGTTGATCTCTACCACTGCAGGGTGTAACCATACTTGAATGGATAACCCGTTTTTCCTGTTGCTGCTTTTTTAAAAGATATTTCACGTATTCTCTCCTTTAATGTTTTGCGATACTTTCATTACCGGTACTGTTAACAAGTATGACTCACTTCATTTGCAGGCTGAGTCCTAGTTCTTTTATCTCCACACCATATTTTCAACAGGCAAACTATAAGTCCCGAGGTTAACACAGCGAGGAAAACAGATAGAGTGAGAAAGACTACTAAACCATTTACAGAACGATCGGATGACATTGCGGCGTCCATCGTTCCATGAACGACCCTAAAATCCAATCCAAATTCGAGAAAACTTGCAGAACATTCAATTCCGAGTATTTAAAAAAACTATAAACAACAAAGCGGTACCCAAAAAGTCGGCATTGTTTTAAAAAAGCTCTTTTCTTAACAAAAGCTGGGTTAAATTGGATTTTGTGAACCGATTCTTTTGGTTCTAATGAATGACTGTGCAAAAAGCCTGAACTCATGGAGTGAAATGGATTTGGACCGTGAAATAATCTTTAATTCGTTAACAAAAAGGCTTAAAGGTTCGAGCTATTGAGGAAAATGTCTAATTTGTAGGACATTTGTTAATATTACCAATTTGATTAAGCGCGAAGTTTCCGAGTGGCTTCAGGTTTCACCTTCTCTGTTACATGGTATTGAAGCAGCACTTCTGCTGACGAATTTTTGAATTCCGCCTCCACAGAATCCTCTTAGTGCGCATTGATCCCAACGCGTATTTGATAGAAAAACAGCTTAGCGTTTCAATGTTAGAGAAGTGTGTCTTAGATCAAAGTGAACGTCCTACCCAAATATCAACAAACCACTCATTTACTGGTTCAACTACGAGAAAGCGCTAGTCCAGTGAAGCTCAGGAATCCATCGTCGAATTCCTTTTGCTCTCGAAGCCTTCATTTCAAGCAAATAAACGATTTAACTCAGGAATTTGGTGGCGAAGGTGTATTCCCGAAGTGCTGGTGATGCTTTCTTTTGTGATTTTTCTCAAAAAATTCGAAATTTCAAAGCATTTTATTGATTTCTTGAACTCTATCTATTTATTCTTTCTTTGATATTCTCTTTATTTACTGTCTACTACTTTTTCATGACAGGGTATTATGTGAGACACAGCCACAACAGTGCTGAGATATATTGAAGACTCTGACTCTAGTGCAGATTCGAACTTGCGATTACGATTTCCATGGGCATACGCGATACCCCCTGCACCATTGAAACCCTTGTTTTGCATTTCTCTCAGCCAGTACCTTAGCGATGCCATCAGCAATCAGCCGACAATGAAAATGACCTGGGGAGTAGAAATTTGCATTGAGCCTAGTTGAGCTGAGGTTATCGTCGAAATCACATTATTCGCTATTTACTACTTATTATTTTTTCATGGCAGGATATTATGTGAAGTACAAACACAGTGGTGATCAGACGTTTGCAGAAATCGAATCTGGCTTGGGGTCTTAGCTATACAAACATCTCAGCATCATTGCTGTTGGATCCAATGATAATTTGATTTTCAAGGAATCTTGAAATGAAACACCTTTCATAAATTTTTTACACAAACTTGAAGGATTAATGTAAAGCCTGTTCTACAAGTCAGCTGCGTTGTTATGTTGTCACAAGCAGTTATCAGCCTGTGTGGTGGTTGGAAGGAGACGCTTTCCAATGAGGTGTACTCGACGATAGCGGCGGAGGCGATTACAGGCAGAAGTATCGAAGCCAGTCTCGGCTCTGCTTGAGAGATCCTGCCAAATTAAACAATAAAGCAGGGAGAAAGCTGCATTCACAGAGGAAAAAATAAGACAGGTGAGTCGTATGAGAGTCATGAATTCAGAAGACAGGTATGAGTCACGTTAGAAGAAGTTATAAGTTGGGTTGCGCAGCGGTCACACGGATTTCAGAAAGAGATCTGAAACATTAACCCACTCTGACCATCAACGAATAAACTGGAGATGCTACACACAATTCATCAATTGCAGTTTCTATTGAGAACTCCTTTTGCTCCTTATTGAATTTTTTTAAAGAACAAGTCAATCTCGAATTCGCCTCAAATCTTTATAATCTTATAGGAAAAAACGCCAAAAGAGTGACAAATGAAAGCTGAATTGAAAAGAGTGTGGAATAGTTTAATTCAAGTTCCACGCCAGTGGCATAACATGGAATCAATGTTGAGCTCCAACCAAGCAATGAATAGCCGTCATTAAGAACGAAGCTTGCTTTGCATTCAGAAAAAATAACAAGGAAAGCAGTCACAAAAGAATTTTCTAAATAAGCTGATTGCTGGCTTGTGGTAGTCTTCTAGGCCATACTACAGTGTAGTCCTATAAATATCCACACGTTTTATAAATATCATAATGACCGGCTTAATTAAGCAGTATTTGCTTGAAACTCACCATGACGATAAAAATGAAAACAAGAATTCAGTCTACACCAGTGACCCTGTGGCTGTCAGGTTTCTGAACATTTAGAGACCAACGCATATTTTCGCGTGTCTCCCAACTTTAATCGGCAGCCAACTTTCGGTGCGTTGTGAATTGTAATCAACTCATACCGGTGCGTGTGTAGCCCTCACCGTGTTTAAACCCACTTCACCAGCAATAGACTTCTTTGCTTTAAAAAGGAGCTGATCTAAAAAAGAGCTCTATATTAGATTGAGATGTTAAAGTAATAACTGTATGGGGAAACACCGCAACAGAGCGGAAGAATTGCTACCTATCCAGAATCTTCTCGGACTAACGGTCTCTCTTCTTCAGAAAAAAGTGCAAAATAATTCAAATCGGACAATATTTACCAAAAAGCGTCGCTGTTTTATAATGCGACTTTTTTTGTTTGATTTCATAGAGAAATTGGTCCCAAAATCCGTTCTCGTTTCCTTGAGCACGTAGTAAAGTGTCCTTTGGTAAGGTGTCGAATTCAGTTATTCGTATTACCCTCTTATGGTGCTCTTCTACTGTACAATTAAACCATTTTGCAAATATGCAAATATGCAAATGTGTTTCTTTGACGAAATCAACATACCGTAGACCAAAACTCGTAAACGTCGATGGTGAAAGGGAAATCATCTGCTTGTGCCGAAGAGTTGAACATAAGGACACAGGAGGAAGCTAGTGTGTGGATTTTGTTGTAAAAATATTATTTGTAAGCTACATTATTTAGTAAGTAACTTTCAAGTTTTTTTTAAATATGAGAAATCACTCTGTGCTGGTGGTCACAATTTTGCAACCTTTTGAGAAGCAGCTCGCACTCCTTAGTCTGATGTCGCACGAAAATCATGCGGCGCAGGAGAGCACTTTCCACAGCGCTGTTCTTGTCGTACCTGAATGGTTTTTTCTACTCTTTAACCACAGCTGGACCAAGGTTCTTGAATTGAACAAGAGGTTCGCATCTGGAACAAAGCAATGGACCTGTCAAAATGGTGTCAACCATTTCTCCGTATCAGTCGTGCCATTGAGAGATTTCTGTCATTCTGCAACGGATTTTTTCTTCGAAACAGTAATTCTTGCTGGTTTTCGTAAAAGTGATCTCCAACAAGACGGTTCTATTTCAGCCCTGATTTCTTCTCACAGTTTTGGTCTAATATTGGTTTTGTAGAATTGCTTTATTAAAAGAAAGCGGCTCTCCAATAGGATTCATCGTTACGTCCTGAAAACTGGCACGGCAGTTTGAGATGTCAAAAAAGAACTGAAACTGTCATGCAGAACGATCTCTAAACTACGATGTAGCCTACAGTATGGGCAGAAAGATTAAAGAAAAGCTTAATCCAGAAAAGGTTTAGAGGATCAAAATGCTGTTGAAGTTTTGAACAATATAGCACTAAAAAATTGTGGCTTTCCTAAAAACAAAAAATGATATGTGAGTGATCGAAGTTTATTACTTCACTGAAATCTCATCAGGTTGTAGATGGACGACAAGTTGCTAGGAAACCTAATGAAAAACACAAACAGGATGTTCTTAATAGTCNGGAAGGGGAGTGCAGTAAATGGGAACCACTATTATCGATCACATTACTTTAGCACTCGAAATATTGATTATTCTAACAGAAAACGTCTCACAACCGTTGTTTACCTGAACTGTAAATGTCCGAACTACAAAATGAACCAACACAGTTCTTGTACGTGATCATGTACGTAGTCGCTTGGCGCGTTGAATTGAAATCAAAAATCAAGGTCCTTGCTGAGATTTAGGATTCCTCCGAGTTTTTCGTTCATTTTCACTTCGAAAATAAAATTGTGGAATGGAAGTAAAAAGAGCCATTGTTTTATTTCTATTTTATCTTACTTTGATCCGTTTCCACGTCTACTGCGCAGGTACCAGCATTTCTCACATCCAATTCGTTTCCTCGCACCCATCGTCCACAAAGGCCTTCCAAGTTTTGCCGCGTGGCTTCGGCTGCTGCTCCACGATTTCCATTACAGCCTAACTATCGTGGAATGCTGGTCGAGCCATTCTTCCTGGAATCCTGAAATAGCCGGGCTGGAGCGCTCTCAATTGGATTACAGAGAGTGATTTTTTTCAGACAAGTCCTGTACCAATTTCTCAACTCCGGAGGGTTGAGAGGCTTGGTTGGCCCGGAATGGAATCGAACTAATGCTATGCTCGTGTTGACGGACTTCGCTACCACTGCGCTATCCTCCCCACCAAAAATCTATTTAACGAAAAAGTCTCGAAAATCTAAATCTAAAAAAACTATTAAGTGACGAAACGAACTATTGAAATGGAAAAGAACGTTGATAGTAAGCCGAATAAATTCTTCTAAAAACGCCGATACGTTTTACCTCATGCGTGGATTCTCACTGAGGTTGATGTATACGATGTGATTTGGTCTACACTTTAAAAAGGGAAAGCTGTGACAGATTGTGCTCTTATTTATTAGAATTCTGAACAAAAGCTGTTAAACGAGATTATTTCATTCAAGTTGGAAAGATAACAGTGACGAAAATTAAACATTATACGTAATATTTATTTATACGAACTTATAAGCTGATCTTCTTGAGCCGATGCGAGGTTGGCATAGGTCTTCTCTGGCGTCGTCGTCGTCGTTGTTGTTGTTGTTTGTCAAAGGCTTGAAGGAGTTCATAGTTTGTTATTACGTTCATAGGGATAAAAAAGGATCTGAGGGATACTCTATGCATTCGATTTAAGCATCGTATGGAGATGATTGGATGCATATCTGGCCTTTATAATGATCGCGGTGGTCGACCGATGTATCGAGCCAGTGCTATTATCCTCCCAGACAAGTCTGGTAGCAATTTGCCAACCCC